AGGAAGGAGGGGAGCACAGAGCTGAGAGGGAGGAGAGAGGAGGGGAGCACGGAACTGAGGGATAGGAAGGAGGGGAGCACAGAGCTGAGAGGGAGCAGAGAGGAGGGGAGGGGAGACGCAGCTGGAGGAAAAGAGAGGGGAGTGCAGAATTATGGGAGAGGAGAGGAGGGGAGCACGGAGCTGAGGGATAGGAGGGAGGGGAGCACGGAGCTTACTTCTACTCTGAGGTGCCTTCCCCTCGCTGCCCCCTCTGGTGTTTGTTAAACTGACCTCCCTGCCTTCATGCTGAGAAATTGGCCAGGGGCATAGGGGTCTGGGGATGTTATTACACAGCCAATACCTTAAAGGTAAACTTAGTGTACTTTATGCCCTAAATAGGGATTCTCAGACCTATTTAGAGACGATGAAAGTTGTCTAGGGTAAGAGTTCAAAAAATCAAGTTAATTAATTTTAATTTCTTTTAATTTAGAAACATAAATGGTTGTCACATTTTGGGTGGGGGTGAGATGTCAGATAATACAGCCTCAGGGATGCTGGAACCCTCATGTGTATGTGATCACTTGGAGTTACAGATTTTTATTTCTTGGGGTGCAATTAGCTTTATGAGATCTTTGTGACTGATTTTGGTAGGCAGATTTGGGCCGTTGTTTCTTCTAACCTTTTAGTTTTGTTCTGTCTTAGCAAGCCTTAGAAAACAGTGGGCTGTCTTCAATTCCAGCTGCAGCACACCCTAGCGACCCCAGCCATGCCACGGCTTCTGGAACGCAGATTCGGAATCCAGATGTTTCCAGTGTGTCACCTGAGCAGACCAACCCTGGAGAGGCAGAGCAAGAGAAAGAACAGGAAAGCTCAGAGAAATTGGATAAGAAAGAAAAAAAAATTATAAAGAAGAAATCACCATTTCTACCTGGTAATTTTAATAGGCTTTAATATTTGGGCATTTTAGCTATTATATGGCTTGTTTTTAAGAAGTATTCTCCCCTTTTCTTCTAAAGTGATGTGTGTACTGAATGTTTGACTCTTGCTGTAGTTGATTACTGTCTGAAAAGGATTTCTCAAACTTCTTTCATTTCTTTTCTCATCTCAGTGAGTTCCTCCCCACTAGTCTGCAGGCCTGAAACCTGCCTTGTCCCTGGCTGTTCTGTCTGCTGTGTCCGGGCGTCTCCTTTAGGCTTAAGCCCATTGCTTTCCTTCCATTCTTGCCCCCGATGCTTCCTGGGTGTGGCTGTGGTCCTGGTATCTCCTGACCACTCTTTTCCTCCTGTCCCATCTACATGTTGCCTGAGCAGGTATCTACCCCAGCCCAGCTCCCTCACATGCCTGGCCCTTTGCTATTCTGCACCTTCATCCGTCTCTTGGCTGCTGAGTCCTCTGTGACCTGTCCACCTGCATCTCCAGCTTCCCTCCCCCTGCTTTTCTGGGTAGGGACTCACATCACAGTCAAGCTGGATTCCTGCTGTTTGTAAACATTGCCATGTCTTCAGAATATCCTGCTTTTCTTGCAGGCTATCTGCATCAAGACTGTCTTCTTCCTGACCTTCCTCTGTTCTCTGCCAAATCTTGGCCATCGTTCAAGGCCAGCTAACTGTTGCCTCTCCCCACCTGCTATGGCTCTTAGGCTGGTCCACGTTCTTACCTCAGTCCTGTGAGCTATTGTGCAGGTGCAGTCTGAGGCATTTCTGCATAGCTCCTTAGCTGGCTCTGGTCTGGGTCACATTCTGTTCACTTCTGAATGTCCTGCAGAGCTCAATGTGGCTGTTTGCACAGGAGCAGATATTCACTGACTTGTTCTTGGGTAAGATAGAGTCCCATCTTTTGGGCAAAACTCCCTATAAAATCCTTTTGCAGGGATTGTGGGCACCAAGTGCTTTCTTGCTGGGAAGCATGGAGTAGCATTGCCATCTCCATTAGTGCTTCCTTCCGAGAGTATATTCTCTCCTTAACAGTGTGATTGTGAGTCCTTGTTTGTCCAGCCACGTGACACTCGTCCTGCTCTTCATCTTCATCTGGCCCTTTTCTCTTCAAGTGAAAAATAGGATGCTGGAATCTACACAGTTTATCCTGTGGGGTTTCCAGGAGCCCCACAGGGTCCAGTGCTTGTGTGTTGTTGTTACACTGTGCAACCCACTGCCTTGGGAAGGGTCTCCTCTGAGGCCCCTGGGCTGTTGTCTTTAGCTAGGGTGCTAAATTAAAGGTGCTTTACACACCTGCAGGCTGCTGGGTGAGGAGTGAAGTCAGACTTCACTGAAAATCCCAGGTAGCAATGGCCCCTCAGACTGAGCAGTGGGCTTCACTGCACATGCCCCTTCCAGACCTGCACTTATCACAGCAGCTCTCTGAGCTTTCTCCTCTGCACCCCTCTAGCCGTGGAGTTCAGGGTGGCGCTGCAAGGGAGCTCCCGGTAGCCGTTCTGATTTGGAGTGCTCTGCACACCGAGTTTGTAAAGATTATGTACAAGACTTTCTGAAATACTTGAGTCCATACATAGAGGATGGAACAAATATATGCATTTCTAGTAATTTTAGATTGAGATCCTTAGTACAAGTTGGAGCTGGCATTTTTGTGGAAAAAAAAATCTCTTTTCTGATACTGTGATTGGGGGCATGTTTCTATATAAAGATAGCTCTTCTGATGAAAGTTTTCAATGACCAGCACACTTTTAGCATCATGATTAAGTCTGAAAGTGCTTCTCCAAAGGCAGAATGTCATTTGATGTCCTGGGAAGACCATGTTCAAAACCATGCTTGATCCTTAGTCATAACATTTTCTTAAGTGCTTAGAATTAACCTTAATTATGTCCCCAAGTTGGACATACTCTGCCAAATAAAGTTATTACTGTTTGATTTTTTGAGTTTTATCAGAGTGAATATTTTTGGTAGAGTTTGCTTTGTTTTTTTAAGAGGTTTGTATAATAAAATTTTAGCAGATGTTTTTATGATTGTCATACAACTTGTGACAGATAAACCGTTGTGAATTTTTAGTAAAGTTTGAAATTTATTGTAGTCAAGTATTGGCATTTTAAAAATCATGGTGAAAAGTGTTTTTAAAAGCTGATGTTTTATTCCTTTAAGTATGAAAATGGTATAACTATTTTGTGCAGAAACTCTTCTGAAAGTTGTTGCAGACTTCACCTTCTTAGACCAGAGTGTGGTTTGTGAACTGTTTTCTCGATGACTTGGGATCATGGCTGTGAGCTCTGGTTCATTGTGCTGTGCTGTGTGACAGGTAGGCATCCTGCTGCCCTAGTGCAGTATGTGGGCTCCAAGATGCTGCAGTTCGTAGGCTCACCTGCTTTTAAAAAATAAATATATTAACCCTGAGTGCTGTTTCTGTTTTTTTTTGTTTGTTTGTTTTTGAGACAAAGCCTCAAGCTGTCACCCTGGGTAGTGTGCTGTGGTATCACAGCTCACAGCAACCTCCAACTCCTGGGCTCAAGCGAGTCTCCTGCCTCAGCCTCGCAAGTAGCTGGGACCACAGGTGCTCGCCACAATGCCTGGCTATTTTTTGGTTGCAGCCGTCATTGTTGTTTGGCAGACTGGGCTGGATTCGAACCCGCCACCTTAGGTGTCTGTGGCTGGTGCCTTAGCCGCTTGAGCCACAGGCACTGAGCCCTGAGTGCTGTTTCTAATTTCCTATAGCAAGCCTTTTTCTTTTGCTCCTTGTAACATGCCGTGTAATTGTATCTCTGATAGGCTTGATTTTTCTAATTGTACAAAACTGGGTACAGCCAGTTGTCTCTGTCCATGGGTTCCACATTTGTGGATTTAGCCAACCACAGATTGCAAATATTTCAGGGAAAAAAACCATCTGTCCACATACAGACTTTTTCTTTCTTGTCATCATTCCCTAAACAATACAGTATAACCTTTATGTACACTGAATTGTCATCGTAGTCACAGGTATGATAAGCGATCCTGAGATGGTTGCAGGTGTGTGGAAACTGTGCCTGTGTTATTTGCAAGTTCTACACCAGGTTATGGCAGGGACTTTGGTGTCTTTGGGAGACCCTGAACCAGCCCCCATGGAGACCGAGGGTCCCTTAGTTACAAATGTAATTGTGAAAATGATCCTTAGAGTAGAAGATTCTCTTGTTTCATCTAAATCTAACCTTAGACCGAGGGTCTCTTGCTCTTGGTCAGATTCTTTGCAACCTATGCAGTTTTTTTACAAATTAGTACATGAATATGTTTGGATTTTTACATATGCTTTCAATAATTCAAGAGATCTTTTTTGTTATTGCTCTTGTCTTTTAGGAGAGCCTATATGGTAGAAATAAACATATATGAATGTGTTTTAGAAAACTTTTAAAAATGCTTATTTATTTGGACATAGATAAATACAGTTTGAAAATTCAACAGTTAATCTTATTTGTGTAAAATTCTTTGATAGTAAGATATTCAAAGTTCATGAGATTTTCTTTAGATTCTGTTTTGAATGATATTTAATTCTGTGTAAGTTTTATCTTTCTTTAATTTTTTAAGATGGTAATCTAGTTTGAGCTGAGTGTCCATCATCTACTGAATTTAACACACTGTATAAATACACAAGTATTAAAAAGGGTAACGACCTAGTAGGAGTTTATGATGCGAGTGAAGAGTCACATTGACGCTGCATAGCAGGGAAAAGTCAGGTAGAGTAATTTTCAGGTGACACTCAGGATGTCAGATGATTGCTCCCTGCAGGAAGTGCTCAGACTTCAGAGACAAGCTGCTGGGCCGTATGAGGAGCGTGAAGGCGTCACCGAGCAGGTGGAGGAGAGCGAGGTATTGATGCTCCCGTGTGAAGCAAGTGGCTGTGCAGTTAGCTTTAGATGAGACAGGAGAACATTCTGCTCTACGGATCATTTTCACAATTGCATTTTAAGTGTTTTTTACATATTGACCATTTTGTAGTATTAAATTTTGTTTAGATATTGCTATTATTTTATGCAACCCGTGCACTTAGGTGAGCGTGTATTTGGCTGCAGTCATGCACACAGACTCTGTCACACAGGCCACGAGAGCAGTTTTAACCAGTCACTGTTACCCAGGTTTACATTTTAGAAGGGACTTGCACAGTCACTTACTGTCTTTCCCCATAGATGCCTGTTCCTTTCTCTGTTGGGTTGTCTTTTTCTTACTGATTTGTTAGAGCTCTTTATATGTATGTTTCGGATATTAGTTCTTTATTGTTCATTGGTGTTTCAGATACTTTCTCCAGTTTGAACTTCTACTTTTACGGTCTCGAAGGCATTTTTTCCTTTTGGTATATTTTGATGAACATATGAAGAGATGCTGACTTTTAATGAAGTTATATGGATTGGTCTTCTTATTTATAGTTTGGGGGTCTTGTGTTAAGAAATCTCTCCTTACTCATGTTGAATTTCCGCATACGTTCTTCCAAAAGTACGTGTGTTAAGGTTTGGCTCTCACGTTTACTTCATGAGCTCACCTGGACTTTATTTTTGTGTGTGATAAGAGGTAGGATTGAAATCTGATATTTTCCTGTTTGGTACTAGTCTAGCACCACTGATGGAGACACCTACCCTTTCTCTGTGGGGTGTGACGGCAGTTGGTTGCAGGTCTTGTTTTCATCCAGGTGTATGCCTAGATCTGGACTCCTGGCTCTGCTTCTCTGTGTCACTGTCAGCACCACAGCATCTCCATTATTTCACTGCTCTTGAAATGCATGCGATAGATTATCCTTTATTCTCTTCAGGGTTATCTTGGTCTTTAGTTATAAAAATTGATGTTTTTGAAATGCACTTGTCCCTTGGTGTTCGTGGAGGTTTGGTTCCAGGAACCCCCATGATACCCAATCCACAGATGCTCAAGTCCCCCATGTATAATGGTGCAGTATCTGTGTATAAGCTGCACACATCCTCCCGTGCCCTCTATCTCCAGGGATGGGTGATAATACTTAATACAATGT